CTGCTCAAGCTGCAGATTTTTTCTCTTATCAGGCTGTTGTCTGGCGCTCTCTCATCTGTAGCGCTCTCTCGCCTCATACTCTCCTCTCCGCGCTTAGTCTCTCATTCCCTTACAAGGAAGGTCTTTCAGGGTGTGCCAAGCTTTTTCAAAACGGTCTTTTGCATGATATAGGGGCACATGCGGGAACCACAGAACCATGGTTAATTTTTCCTGAACGGCCCTCTGAATACCAGAAAAGGGGTCCCTAGTTCGATTCCTCGTGGTGACAAATTTTTGCATTTCGAGTTGACGTTCCAAATTCGCGCAAAATGGAGTCAGCATGAATAATTGGTTCCATATTCATGATTAGGACCGTCAGTAACCCTTACAAATAGACTTTGATGAGAACGGCGCGTGAAAAGGAGGATGGATAAGTGACTTTTCTGTATTTAGGAGGGCGTTCAGGAAAATGACACTATGCTTCTGGGGGGGCCGCATATGATGCCGATAGGTATGCGAAGAACATTTGAAAAGCGCGGCACACCTGAACACTCCTTGTTGGCACAGCCGCGATTAGAAAGGTGAGTGAGCCACTTAAGCGTTTTTGACAGGATTTTTTTTCTTCTTTTATGGCGCCATTAGCACATACAATCGATTGCGTGAACAAGAGCCAACCAATGGATTCTGCGGGTATCACTTTAACCCTGTGCACAGCGTTGCTGAAAGTATGGCAGCAGTTTTCTGGCTGACGTGTTGTCCTGCCTGGGACAGTGTACTAGCGAATACGGGGGGGGGAAATCTCATGACACTGCTCCATTGCGCCTATAGCAATATAATAGTAATATGAGTGGTAGAACATTATTTATAACTTTACAAGAATGCTAAGCTATGATCAAACCTGTGAAAAGCAGCAAGTGGTGATAAGTTGTGCTATACCATTTAAACCTGGGCTAATAAGATGAGGTGGTGCCCTGGTAGTGTAAGTGGTAGCACAATTTCCCGGTAAGCAAGAGATAATGGGCTCGAATCACGCCTGGATCCTAACTTTTGCTCATAACTCGGCTTTCTTATAGGCGCACTGCTAGGAGTGCATAAGTTTTGGGTTCGAGTTGTGCTCGATACGCTGCGGTCCGCATCCTATAGCACCAGTGTGATGATTCTCATTACAAAATGTGGCGAGAAACTGCAGTCAACAAAACCAATTGCAAGTTCTCTAAAGAACTGTCAACGAACTTTAAGTGACTGATGGGATTGAATGTTCTTCAGTACTTCTTCATTGCCTCCTGCTCTTCCAATCGCATCTGCACTAAATCGCTGCAGTCGTGCACTCGGTGCAATTTTCAAAAGCACCACTTCTGTGATTGTTAAAAGAATCCTCCACAGAAAAATCATAATTTTATTTCAGCGAAAAATCCAAAGGGCTGCTACGCGCTCAGAGTGCCCACGGACGTCTTTCGCAAATACTGGCGACGGGGACGCTTTCCACTTGGTTCTTGGAGTGCCTTCACTGGAAAT